AATTGAACTACTGCCAAAATTTCCTCGGACATGTTTCCTCAGATCTCCATGGTAAATGCTCATGCTGCTTAGTTTAAATTTTCCACCTTCTATAAATGCTATTCAATTTCTCCCAACATTACCTTGCTGAACTTCCTCTTTCTAAAGTTGGCTGCAGGGAGGAACACTACACGGGTGCTGCTTGGAGCGGATAAGCCATGCTATGATCCAAGCAAGTTACTGCTCTTTTCTGTTGCAGCTTTCAGGTAAAGCTGGGATAACCCCTGTTCCCCAAACCAGGAAGCATGATGGGAAAGTCCAAGTCATTGGTAAAACAAAGGAAGAACAATATACAACAATGACAACAGAAGCTAGACAAGAAGACTTTCTGTAGCAGCATGAGGCTGGCTTGTGACCATCAGGGGAGCCCACGGTTACCTTCTTCTTGATGCCATCTTGAATCACCGTAGTCCGATACAGTCTCAAAAGACCTTCCTCAGACAGGTTCCGCACCAAGCGGACAATGGATTTCTTGCAGCACTTGGTGGACACGCCTTCCTGCTTCTCCTGGTCCATGATCATCTTCTGAATCCTGAGAAATCGCAAAATAAGCAGATTATGTCCCAGTCTCAACGTGAAGGGTTTCCTCAACACAGGCAACAGAGGCATGCCTAGGGGTATCCAACGGAAACCAGGGAAGACTCAAAGCGGGTCTTCACCCACCTGGGAAAAGCTGCCCTCCTGAGATGTTAATCATCACTCCTCTCTGAGGCAAATGTGTAGCTGAAGGGATGCCACTGTCACAGCAGCTTCACAAGCTGAGCCCTGCAGCAGCAGCTCCAGGGCCCACTCGCTTATAAGCATCGTGGCAGGGAAGCTGGCCCCGTGGCGGAGACCTGCCTCCATCAGGTCTCCATGCTCACCGAACACCAGCTAAGGGCTGTTCCAGCAGACCACCCCCCCCTCAGACCCGAAACTCTTCCTGATTCCTCTCTCGATACATCTTCTTATTCTGCAGATCTTGGAGTCACTGCAGTGGTATTTCTAGATCAACAGGCATATGCCCAGAAGGTACCTCAGGAACGCACAGCCAAACCTTTCACTGCTCAGAAGGGGGGAAGAAGTGCCAGTATCTGCAGAGGGTCCCTGCCCCTGACTTAGCTCTAGTTAGAGACAGGGCATGGAGAACCCATGTTCTTGACTAGAGGTAAGGCTCCATCTCATCAAGTGGCTTTCACATGGGGTGCCACAGAAACCCTGAGGATGTCACCCCAGGAGGCGGTGGTGATGGGGGCTTACAAGGACCAAACTGGGGCTCAGAGCCTCTACTCTATCCCAAACACAGAAGCTCTATTTGTGTCTCTTGGTTTTTCTTCTGCAGAAGATTCTATCTGAACAAAAGAGTCCATGGAGAACTAAAAGTTTGTAAGTAGTGCTATTACCTGCTTAAGAATCTTCATACCCCTTCCTTAGCAACAACTTTCCAGGTAAGGAGAAAGGTACCTTCCTCACTACTTCTATTTCCTACTCAATTATACTCTGCCTGTCTAGCATACTGGTTATTCCTCAATGTCTATACTTTTTGAATAACAGGAACAAACTCTAAATCCTTTTTACCACAAAAGGCTATGACAAGAAGCTCTACTATGAAAGAGAGTCAGATGCCTTTCTGTAATTTCTGTGGCTTGTAATGACTAATTGGTATGAGAATTATTGTTAGTACAAGACAGACAAGTCCTTACGTGAATAAACTCTCAATTAAGCGGAGGTTGGTAACAGCCTCTATGATCAGATTCCTGCGTTTCAGCAGTCGGTAGGTTTCATGCGGCTTGTCCTGGCTTGAGCCATGCCTTCCAGTCTTCAGGGAACTGCTGCTTTCCTAGAACAGAGACCAAAAGCTCAAGATACCCAAACCTGGCAAGGCTAGGAGGCCAAAAGCCACTCCTGTGGGTGCACGTTCCTTCTTTATGGAACTTCTACCCCTGTCTTTCAGAAAGGAAAGTCAAAAAGCCTGTTCTCCTACACAGGATCCCACTACCCTACCACTTCAGTGCTTTGAAATAACAAGACATGTGCCAGCAGAGGACCCTGGACAACCTTATGAAGATCAGCTGGTTTCAAAACAGACATTAGAGGTATCTGCTATAGTAACTCCTGAGAAAGAAGGCTTCCCCTCAATTTTCCTTTGGTTCTTCCACAGTAGAATGGGAAGACTAGCAACAGACATTTTCACGCCAGTTACTCTATTAGATTTTATTCATTTAAAAAAATTTCTTAGCCAGGCTTGGTGGCTCAGCCTGTAATCCCACGCCTTTGGGAGGCTGAGGTGAGTGGATTGCCTGAGCCTGCGGGTTCGAGACCCGCCTGGGCAACTTGGTGAGACCTCATCTCTACAAGAAATCAAAAAATTAGCCGGGTGTGGTAGTGCGCGCCTGTAGTTCCAGCTACTTGGAAAGCTGAGGCAGAAGGATCGCTGGAGCCCAGCAGGTCGAGGCTGCGGTGGCCGGGAGCATGCCACTGCCCTCCAGCCTGGGTGACAGAGTGAGACTCCAACTCAAAAAAAAAAAAAAAATTTCTTAACAACTGTATCATTATTGTTCCCATTTTGCAGAAGAGGACACCAGGGCTCTGTGGCAGAATAACTGTCCGGGGTCACACAGTGAACACGTGCCAGGAGGCGGGTTCTGACTCCAAACACAGGTAGCCACCGAAGTCTCCAGTTGCTGTGCAACATGAACAGAGGCAGGCCTGAGTTGAGAACAGGGTCCCCCGAGGAAAATCAGGAAGAGTGGATCTGTGCTTCTTCCTTTATCCCTGCCAGAACATCCACTTCTCTCTTAATGCCTCCCTTCTGTCTTCCATAAGCTTAAAATGAACCTGTTCCACCCACCTGCCCTTGGCTCTCTGGATGAGGCACATTCTCTCATAAAGGAGGAAGGGCTGGAGGGGGAAAGAGTCAAAGACTCAAGAAGGGTCCCAGGAGTGGCAGAAAGACCTTCGTTCTCCCTTGCATTGCAGGGTGAACAGTTTGGGAGGAAACAACGCAAGTAAATCCAGCCCTTTTCCATCAGGTTGTTGGAGAGCAAAGGAACGCACTCTGCCAAGGGCCTCTGGCAAGCAGCAGACACCACTCTTCCCAGGAAGCACACAGAGAGGGGCATGAAGCTGCCGGGACTCTGGGGATGGATTTCCATCAGAAAGAGGACGAGCTGAGCTAGGAAACCCATCATGGGGATTCTAAGACCTAGGGGGAATGCATAGAAGATGTAAAGTGGAGGCAGATGGGGGAAAGCAGCAGGTGAACCCAGTGGGAATATGCTGGGATCCCTGCTGGCAGACCCAGTTCCTCAGCTGGAGACAATGTTAGTCATGATTCCACAGTGAGGTATGGCCTCCAACAGACAGGAAAGGGCCGAAAGGATCTAGAACATCGATCCTGTGCCCCACTGCCTCTGCTGCAGGGACACTTCCAAAGCTCAGTCCTCCATTCTAGAAAGGGAAAAGCAACCTAGAGAAAGGACTGCACACACATGGTTCACGGCTCACTCTGTCGCGAACCAAGGTTACTCTGTCCTCACTTCCTCCTCATAGAACAAAGCTGGTATCTGTCTCATAGAGTTGTTGTAAAGCCTGAACTGAATACCAGCAATGTCATCAAAAGTCACTTGGTCACAAAGCATTCTGTGCTAGGTGTCCAGCCATCTACTCTGTGCTTACAAATACAGGAGGTGCCCCTGGTAGTAGCTGAGGTACTTTTTAGGTGACAAAGTGTTGACGTGGCGTTAGGCCAAATGAATCATAACAATGAGAAATGCATTCCTTATCAACCATCTTTTAATCCGTCTAACTACATTGAGAACAAAGTATTGATTTAATTCTGTGTCTTTAACACCTTGACGATACAACAGTATCTGGCCAGAATGTACTCACAGAGTTTGCATCTATTCTATGAGTGCCTTCTTTTTTTATGGCAAATGATACTGCTTTTCATCTAGAGCAGGGGTCTCAACCTTGGCAGTGCTGATCCGGGCTTGATCACTCTCTGTCGTGGGGGTCCTGTGCATTACAGGACATTTCCCAGCATTCCGGCCTCTCCCTACTCGATGCCAGTAGCATCCCTTCCCTCAGGTGCAACAATATCTCCAGACATTGCTACATGCTCTCTGGGGGTAAAACTGGCCCAGGCCAAGAACCACTGACCTAAACTAGTCAGAGAAATTTTCCCTGTAAAATAAATTTAAGCAAAAAGATTACATTGCTGCAAATTAACACCCTGAACAAACAACAGTGCGGACGATTTCTCCATGGGACCCAGGATGCAGGAAGGTGTATGTGAATAAGCACTGCATTACTTCTTGGGAAGCTCGTGGTCACCATGGGCTCAGGGCAGACCCAGACAGGCACTCAGCACACAGCACTCTTACTATTACTGATTCTGCAGTGGCCAGTGATACAGCACAAAAATGACAAGACTGATATCCACCTGCCACAGGCTTCTTCTTGGAGAAAACGCCCTCCCTCTGTGAGCACTGACCTTTGGGTTTTCAAGCCGGACCTCCTCAATCACGGCTATGTCACCACTGTTACTGCCCACACAGTGTGAGCCGTAGGACATGTTTTGGTCCGAGGTGCTGCTGGTGTCCAGAAGGCCATCCTTGCCAACAAAGCCCCGGCAGGCTTTCTCCTCAGCAGCTCCTGAGATGGAAGACGACTGCTTCTTCAAAGGGTGTAGGTTCAGGACTTTCCACCCACCTGTGGTGGAGGCAACAGGTAGAACAAATCAAGGGGGAGACCGAGAGACACACTCATGCTTGGCAGTCAAAAGCAAGCTAAAAGATCCTGTTTAGAGTCAGTTCAAGCAGCTTGATGTCTTCTTCCTGGCCTTTCATCTAGAGCAGCGATCTTAACCCTGGCAGTGCTGACAGCCGGGCTGGGTAATTCTCTGTCATGAGAGGCTAGCCTGTGCACTACAGCAGGGGTCCCCAACCCCTAGGTCATGGACCAGTACCAGTCTGTGGCCTGTTAGGAAGTGGGCTGCACAGCAGGAGGTGAGTGGCTGTTGCGCAAGGAAGCTTCACCTGTATTTACGGTCACACTCCCCATTGCCCACACTACTGAATGAGCTTCTCCTCCTGTCAGATCAGCACTGAAAAGCCTGCTTCCACTTCCAACATCTTTTCTTTGTGAAGCAGGGTTTTCTGCAGTCACAGTAACCAAAACGAGATTACAAGGTAGACTGGTCATAAGCAACACACTTCGGATGTCACTGTCTCCTATCACCCCAAGATAAGACCATCTAGTTGCAGGAAAACAAGCTCAGGTCTCTCACAGATTCTGCATTATGATTTCATTTTATATATATATATATTATATATATATATATTAATATATATATTTATAAATATATATATATATATATTTTTTTTTTTTGAGTTGGAGTCTCACTCTGTCGCCCAGACTGGAGTGCCGTGGCGGCTCCTGGCCACTGCAGCCTCGCCCTGCTGGGCTCCGGCGATCCTTCTGCCGCAGCCTTCCGAGTAGCCGGAATTACAGGCGCACGCTACCACACGCGGCTAATTTTTTTTTATTTATTGTAGAGATGAGGCCTCTACAATAAATTTTTTTTATTTATTGTAGAGATGAGGTCTCACCGAGTTGCCCAGGCGGGTCTCGAACCCGCAGGCTCAGGCAATCCACTTACCTCAGCCTCCCAAGGCATGGGATTACAGGCTGCCACCAAGCCCGGCTTCATTATATATTATAATGTAATAATAATAGAAATAAAGTGCACAATAAATGTAATGGGCTGGAATCATCCCAAAACAATCTCCCCAACCCCAAACCCCAGGTCCGTGGAAAAACTGTCTTCCATGAAATCAGTCCCTGACGCCAAAAAAGGCTGGGGACCACTGCATTACAGGGTATTTTCCAGCATTCCAGTCTTTACCTACTAGATGCCAGTAGCATCCCCTCCCTCAGTTGTGACACTCAAAAATGTCTCCAGACATTGTCCAATGTCCCCGGGTGGGGGGAGTCCTTAGTTAGATACAAAATTTGCAAATGTGTCACCAGCACCACACTCCACATGTGTAAAAAAAGTCTTCTATAACCACACTAAAAACTTGAGGGATTCTTAAACAGACTGCTGGCGGGAAGAGGCTAGAGGAAGTACATGAAATTCCAGGCCTTTAATAGTAAAAATACAACCAAACAAAGCATCTGCCAAGCAGAACTGACTTGTAAGCAGCCAGGAGACAGACCACAGGACCCTCTCCTCCAGACCTATAATATGTGATGCAAGTGACATCATCAGGCCCCAAATCAGAGCAGCACTGAGGGGATCCACAGGTGTGTGCTAAACTGAACCGCTGTTTCTTGCAGATGCCTGGAGGCGCTGGTGCATGGAGCCCCTGCCAGCCCTCAGCCCTGCCCGCCCTTGCCCCTGCCCACTCGAACACGCTCCCTACCTTTGGTTGGGGTGGAGTGATGAGGCTGGGTCCCAGACCCAAGGTTTGTAAAGGATCTCCCATCCCCCTGGGACGCTCTGCCTCTCCGCTTGTTGCTACTGCTGCTCTCTTCCTCGCTGTCCGACTCGGAGAGGAAAGTGTCTTCACCCTCGGGTAGAAGCGACTCCTCCTGCACAGAGGCCAGGCTCACCGTGGTGAGGAGTTCGCCTCGGGCTTTCTCTCGCTCATACTGTCGGCTGAGGTCGCTCTCCTCCGCAAACACGCAGGAGATGTACTTAGTGGTTCGCTGCCGACCTTCGTCTTCCATGAATCCCTAGAGGGAATTCACTGTGTTGACCACACTCAAACGAGGGTGTCATACTTACAGGCATTCAGGTGACCAGTGGTTCGTGGCATCTATTTGCTTATTTTGGCTTTCACTGTGTGCCTATCTCACCACCTGGGTCCTGGGGCAGGCTCCACTGTGCTCCCTCCTAGCTCTCCCTGTCTTGTCATCCCTCAGATCCTGCTTCCCAGGTCTGTCAGGGATGGTTCTCCAAGTGCAATCCTAAATGGGTGTCTGCTCTCCTCAGGGATGGGACCTCCACATCGCCTCAGTGCCTGACACAGGACATGGCTCACAAAAAAAGGGCTGTAAGCAATAGGTGTTTGCTACCCAGACTGAAGAGTCAGGGCCTCAGGGTGCCAGCTCTACTTGGTAACTGGCATGGGGACTGGTGGATTGGTCATCACCAATTTTATCTTCTAGAACAGGGGAAAGAGGCTCTTCCCAGGGCTGTTTTTTTTTTTTTGGAGTTGGAGTCTCACTCTGTCTCCCAGACTGGAGTGCAGTGGCCACTCCTGGCCACCGCAGCCTCATCCTGCTGGGCTCTGGCGATCCTTCCGCCTCAGCCTTCCAAGTAGCCGGAATTACAGGCATGCGCTACCATGCCCGGCTGAGTTTTTGATTTATTGTAGAGATGAGGTCTCGCTGCCCAGGCGGGTCTCGAACCTGCGGGTTCAGGCAATCCACTCACCTCAGCCTCCCAAAGGCGCGGGATTACAGGCTGAGCCACCGACCCGGTCCCAGGGCTCTTAATGGGGTAGTAACATTTTCTATATACCAACCACATGCCAGGGATGGTGCTAGGTATGCTGCAGTCATTAACTCAACTACAATACTGGCTTTACAGCAAAATGGCCAAAAGGTGGGCAAGAAGAGAGAGATACACAAGGGAGAAGATCACAGATCTGAATTACATAAGAGGAGCACCAAACAGGCTGGCCAAGTCAATGTCCCTAGGAGCCAGGCAAGTAACATAATAGGTGGGACAGTGGTACCCTGGAGAGCACTGCTTTGTCTAAAGGGGTTGGATGGATCCTGGCCAGCTCCAGCTAGCTGTCCCCACACAAGACAGCGGGCCACATCGCCTTCTGACTTTTCTTTTCTTTTTTTTTTTTTGCATTGGAGTCTCATTCTGTCGCTCAGGCTGGAGTGCAGTGGTATGCTCACAGCCACTGTAGCCTCGACCTGCTTGACTCAGGCGATCCTTCTGCCTCAGCCTGTAAGTAGCTAAACTACAGGCACATACCACCCCACCTGGCTAATTTTTGGATTTATTGTAGAGATGAGGTCCAGTTGTCCAGGCTAGTCTTGAACCCCTGGACTCAGGCAATCCTCTTGCCTCAGTCTCCCAAAGTGCTGGGATTACAGGCTTCAGCCACTGCGCCCGACTGCCTTCTGACTTTTCAATGCTGAAAACTCACTCAATTTTTAAAAAGTGAAAATAAAAAAAAACCACAGTGAGGGGAGCCGTAACACGCCTGTGGATTGCATTCAGTCCCTGATAGACATTTGCCTCCTTGACGCAGGTGGCAGGCGACCTAGTTTTCTGTCCAAGACGCTCCTTCATAATCATACCATGTGCAAATCCAGAGACAATGAATTGTGGGGGAGACTCAGGATGTTACCTTGACAACTTTGAATCTCTGAAGAAGCCGGCACAACATTCTTGCTTCCAGTTTTCCCACATTCATAGCCACTCGGATTTCAGCCTGGGAAATTCCTTTCGTGCCTCTGCGCTCAACTGTGAGAAACAAAATTTGTGAACCCCGACCTCTGTACAGGAGCTGTTCTGCACAAGTCAACTCCCACCCCCATTTCTAAGCACAGATATTTCAATGCAGTGAAACCAACTCATAGAAAACATATGCCACTTCTCTCTCTTCTCCTCCCAAGGATGTTTCCCCTCCCAAGACAGAAAGATACTACACCATACTAATAATAACACTAATAGCTAATTTTTGAGTGATTCCAATTTCACTCCTCCACGTTAACACACTAAATAAATGTCAGGCGATCAATATCTGGTCTACTAAGATCCAATAACATCTTTTTTAACCAGGCAGTAAGAAATCAGCCCTTTCATGTGAATGAACTTTTTCAGATAAATGAAATTGACCTTTTCTAAAAGCATCAAATAATTTTTAGTTAAGAACTTTTTTAACATGTATTTTTCATTTCCTTGTTCTCGGTAGATGCAGAGGAACTATGGACACTGACTATCGCACTATCTCATAACAACTGTGCCAACGGGGCTGTGGAAGGAAGTGATGCTATTTAGCCCTCTAGTAAATGACTGGCAGACAACTGTGCCCTGTTATTTGCTCTGTATAGTCTGTCAGCTCCTGTCCTGCTGCAAGCTGTTGTTTCTCAGTACTGTTACTGTATCTGCCTCTAAGAGACCCTTTGACATTCATCTAAGCTGGCATGGAGAATTCGAGGAAGGGGCCTGCTTGGGGACTGGGGGTGGGTAGGGATCCCAGCAGTAAAGTAAATGAACTGCAGGGCAGACTTGGTGGCAAAGCTCTTCTAGTGCCCAGAAATATTTTCTTCTTTATTTTCTGATGCATCCACATACTTGAGGCTGCCAGGGGAAAGCTATCTGAATAAAGGAGGTTTTGCCATATTGCTCATGTATAAAAAAATCAGCACCAGAATGAAAAGAGACGATTGGGATGTGTTCCTATACTGAACTAGCTACATGCTAAAAAATGGGCATGAAAGGGTTAAGGGCAGCCCTTTAGAAACTATTGTGAGGAACCCATTCTGAGAGACACTGAGAACTGCCAAACAGCCCTCCAAAAAGGCCGCGTCAGCTGCTTCACCTTCTGCCCTGTCCTCCTCCCCACAGGGACCTGAGGCCACACCACCTACAGTCCTGGGTCTCCTGGGTCGCTGCTGTCCTGTATGGATTTCAGGGGATCCAGGGGAAAGGTGAGGAATGAGAGAGGCTTCATCACTAGATTCCCTGCCTGCAGTGACTCCAGACCAATCTCAGACACTCAAGAGGTAGCTCTTAAACCCTTGAATAGTAATTCTAATAGCTAATTTTTTTTAGGGCTTTCTACATAGGTACTTTACTAGCCACTGGAACTCTATGTCATTTATCCTCATAATGAGTTAATGTGGTGGTAAATGTTAAGGATCAACTTGACTGGATCAGAGGATGCCCAGGTAACTAGTGAAGCTTTATTTCTGGGTGTTTCTGGGGGAGATTGGTGGGACGAATGAACCCAGTGTGGGTGGGCACCATCCAGCTGGCTGGGGACCTGGATAGAGCAAAAAGGCAGGGGCAAGGCGAGTTTGCCTTCTCTCTCTTCTGGAGTCGAAGCCCCCTTCTTCTCCTGCTCTTGGGTGTAACACCTCCAGGGTCTCCAGTCAGTGGCCTCTGGGACTTGCACCAGCTTCCCTGGTTCCAAGGCCTTCAACTCTCTGGTTCTCAGCCAGCGATGGCCTACTGGGGGACTCCTCAGTCACCCTAAGTGTGAGCCAAGTCCTCTAAGGAATCTCTTATATCTAGATATGTTTATCCTAGGGGTTCTGTGTCTCTGGAGAACTGATTGACACACCCTATTTATAGAGGAGGAGACTAGGCTCAGACACGTTGCTAAAGTCATTCAGCTAAGTGACTGAACAAGGGTTCAAATTCCAACCTGATCTGAAAGCCTAAGCCGTCCAAGGGAACCCCAGCGCTTCCCACTGCGCTGCCTTCCCAGCAGCAGAGCCATCTCTTGACACATGGGCGGAGCCCTGCTCCACTCAAATGCTCAGGAATGTGTCCGAGCCGGGGTTAGAACAGGACTTACTGAGATCGTAGGTCTGCGTGAGCATATCCCGTTCAAACACAAGGTCCACCGGAGGCACAGCCTTGGAGATGACATCCTCATCATCGTCATCGTCCTGGTCATTCCGTTTAAATTCCTTCATCAGCTTGAGGCACCGAACCATGACGTCGGTCCCTAGGAACACAAGCCCAGGTTTTCTAGCGATGCGTGACAATGGTGGTGCATGGGGGGAGGCGAGGGTCCAGAAATGTCACAGCAGACTTTGGCAGACACAGAGATCTCAAAAAAGGTCACACACTTTCCCATGTTTGGGACATTTAAAAACTGCATGTCTTGGGGCACAGACCTGAAAATATATTTCATAAAACTGCTTTTTGTTTTCAACAGGATTAGTGAACAAAGAAATGCAAATGAAAGGAATAACAAGGTGCTGTTAGTCCTGTTAAATAAACAGTAGCCCTCTCAAGCGGGAGACTAGCTCCATGACAACAGGAAATGTGCCTGTCTCTTCCTGTTCTCTTACCAGTACCCAAGAAAGCCTGCGCTCAGGAGGTATGCAGGTAGTATTTGCTAAAAGGATGAAAAACATCTTCTTTCCTTTTAAGCTAATACCCACTGCCAATAAGGTGCAGCAGCAGTGTAAACGAGTTCCATAACCCTTCCAGAGCATTTCCAGGAGCCTTTACAGTGATTCCAAGTGTAGGAATATGTTACAAGAAAACTACTCAAGAGGCCAAGGTTACTGGTATTAGGTATTATAGGTCCATTATGGCACTCTTTTTTTTTTTTTGAAAGCAGGATTTATTGAGAGGACAGAAAAGCTCCCACAGTGGGAGGGGACCCAACGGGGTTGCCCTTTAAAGCACTCTTTATGCATCAGCTCTTATGAGTAAAATAAAAACACTAGTCACGGGGGACTATGTGGTGGTACACCAACAAACTACCTCACTCTCTGTGGACTAGTATCTGTCTTTAAATTATCACAGTGCACTTCTGTTGCAACCTACATACAAGGGAAAAAAATAAACTTGCACCTATGGCTGGAACAAGAGAAAGATTTGTGCATATATACATAAGGACTAGAAAGGCACAAGGAAAAACAAACATCTTGACACTTGACACATGTTAACCAATTCTAACAACACAACAGATAAAGAAAACTGAGACACAAAGGAGTTAAATCACTCGCCTGAGCTCCCAACTGCCTGTAAATGACGGGCACAATTACTCAGGCAAGGTCATCATCTCCAACATGAACAGTGAGCTATGCAATATGACAGTGCAGGAGATGGATAACAGCCCCTGCAAGATGTCCACGTCCTAATCCCTGGAATCTGGGAATATGTTGCCTTACATAGCAAAAGGGATTTTGCAGAAGTAAGTTAAGGACTGAGGATTTTTTGGTGATGGTTGCTGTGGCAAAGTTAAGAATTTTGAAATGAGATGATCCTAGAATGAGCCAGGTGGGCCCAGTGTAATATCACAGAGTCCTTGTAAGAGGGGGCTAGGAAGGTCAGAGTGAGAGATTAGAAGATGCTATGATGCTGGGTTTGAAGACGGAGGAAGGGACCACAAGCCAAGGAATGCAGGTGGCTTCTAGAAACTAAAAAAAGCAGGGATTGGCTTCTCTCCTAGAGTCTCCAGAAGGAACACCACCCTGCAAACTTCTTGATATTAGCCCAGTGAGACTCACTTCAGATATTAAATCTATGTTCTTTTAAGTTACTAAGTTTTAAATAATTTTTTCTTTTTTTTTTTTGAGTCAGTCTCACTTCTTCACCCAGGCTGGAGTGCAGTAGCACAATCAGGGCTCCCCAGCATTGACCCACTGGGCTCAGGTGATCTTTCCGCCTTAGCCTTCCAAGTAGCCAGAACTACAGGCACGTGTTATCATGCCCGGCTAATTTTTTATTTTTCTAGAGATGAGGTCTCGCCAACTTGCCCAGACTGGTCTCGAACCTGCGGGCTCAGGCAATCCTATCACCTCAGCCTCTCAAAGTGCTGGGATTACAGGTTTAAGCCACCACGCCTGGCCCTAAATAATTTGTTTTAGCAGTAATAGGAACACCACAGGCTGTTTCCCCACCAGCTTTTGTCAGCATACTTATGAGATGAATCCTTGGGATCTACAGCAAGGAGTAGGGTGCTAAAGGTGGTCTCTGCAGCCCAGTCCTCTTGAACAGGAGCTGGGGTCCGCTGGGCACCCTGCCCGTGAGGTGTGAAATGCCACTCGCCACTCAAGAACACAGAAGACTGAGATCTGAGGAAGGTCAGGTCCAAGAACGGGATTCTCCTGGGCACAGCATGTGGCTTGCAGGTGAAGTTCACAAACAAGTACCTCGGGGCCCTGAACTCATCCAAGACTCGCTCTCACAGATCCCCTGGGAGTCAGCCTGGGGCAAGCGGTCAGCAGTGGTCCCCAGGCACTAGCCTGGTGCTGATCCCTCCCAACCCTCACAGTGACAGAAGTTCCCCAGCACACAGCTTTGCATTAGAAGCTTTGCATTAGAAGGCCCAACCCCAGCACAGGCCTGAAGCCTCGGATCCCTCTGCTCCTGCCAGGTCCTATCTGTGGCTCTGCCCTGTGCTCCAGGCCCCACCCTGTCCTCTCCTGTGGTACCTATGTCCCAGGATGTGAGCCTCAAGCAACCAGAAGGAGAAGCTTGGGGAGGAGGGGGATCTTGGGTTCAACTGAATGGGCGAAAATATTTAAAAGCTTGTGTGTCTGGGACAGGGTCCCTGCTGGGCTACCTGTGAATTTCCTTCTACTGGCAGTACCTCTTTCCAGCAGCTGGTGGCTGGCACACCCAGCACACGAGTGGATGCTGACCACCAAGTCATGCCCCCTGGAGCTTCCTCTCTCTATCCTCTAGTCAATCCCTCGCAACCATCTCACCCCTAGGATGATGCTCATACGAACAACCTACTGCTCCTAATAACACTAGTCATCTATTGAGCACGTACTATGTCCTGGATGCTGTCCTAAGCTCCTGACGTGTGTTGAGTGACTGGGCCTCATCACAGCATCCCCAGTCCCACATGAGAACACTGAGGCGCTAAGGAATTTGCACAGACAACTAGCCCTTAGCAAGCAAGGAGCTGGCAGTTCGCTGGCAGCCTGGGCTCCAAACCTCTGGTGACATATGCTCCTGATCCAAAGACATCCATGTGACTGAGAAGAGCTGAGTGACTAGCCAGTGCCGATCTCTCCACTCCTCATCGCAACAGAAAGTTCCCCAGTGCACAGCTTTTCATTAGAAGGAGCGTAAGGCCCCAGGCCCAGCACAGGCCCAAAGCCTCAGCTCCCTCAGCTCCTGCCAAGTCCTCCCCTGCAGCTCTGCCAGGGGCAAGGGACACTGGCTTCTGTCTGAGCAGCGACACAATAGAGCACTTCAGGAAGGCAGACCCCAGGTGCTCTCGCCAGCAGCATAGTGTTACTTCTTCCACTCCTTTTTACTTACTTGAGGGTCGAGTTACCCAGGAAGAGACACAGAACAGCCCTCAAGTTAAACACAGGTGTAAGAGGAGAAATGTTGCTGGTGTACTCATGGAAAAAAGGGCAATATTCTCTTAGCCTTCCAAGCTTCTGTCTCTTCTCACCACTGAGTCAGCTCGCTGGCCGCAACCTCTCCACTATCATGGCCATTTCATCATGGTTTCCACCACACTGCATGACTGCCTCCGCTCCTGAGGGCCAAGATGAACCTTCTGAAGGAGGCTAGGGATACACTTGGGCTCCGGGGCCGGCAGACATGACTTTCCATGCCAGCTCTACAATGTCCCGCTTCTGTAACTTTGGGGAAGTTCCTGAGTGTAACCCTTTGTTTTCCAATCAGTAAAATGGGATGATAATGTTCTCTACCTCACAGGGTCAATGTTCGATGATCGTGATACTGCCTAAATGATGCTAGGCCCTCACTGCGTGCATCCAGCACCTGCTGAGCACAAGGCAATGTGCTGTGGCATCACATGAATCAACCCACAAAATCCCACAGTCCCAAGGCAGACAGGCCCCTGTGAGCCCCATTTTATAGCTGAGGAAGCTGAGGTACTTGCTCAAAGTGACAGAGCTAGAAAGAGGCAGAGCTTGGGTTTGAGCCCAGGCTACTTGCTTCTGGAGTCAACGCTCTCAACCAACAGGGTAGTTCTTCTGAATAGCATCACCAGCACCGAGCACAGGGTGGGGAACGGTCAACATTAGTGAAATTAGATAGCTGGGCCCTTCATACTGTGACATAAGCCCCTACAGCTGGCCTCTGGTTGTGCTGGCCTGGCTTCTGGAAACGTGTGGGAATCCGCTATGTGCTGATTCTGAGCCGGGGGTTCAGAAAGATATCTGGACAGCCAGGCTGTTGGCCGGGGAGGCTGAGGTGATGCCTGAGGACCATGAGCTGCTCCCAGTAGTCACACAGGGCATCATCAGCCCCAGGACTCTCCAGGAGCATGTGACCAGAGGAGGTGCTGTGGGCAGGCCTGCTCACGTACATCGGAGGCTAGACCTGGCGTGACTCATTCAGACAGCTACTGGCAAGGTTTTGGGCTGTGGGTCTGTGGCTCTGCCTGTCCCACAGAGCACAGCTGATTTCTCTGCTGCAACTCCCAACTGCACTGACTCTACCATGTCTGCCAGACAAGTAAGTCCTGTCGTGTCTACCCCAGCTGGGTCTGGCTCTCAACATATCGATCACAGGAACACAGCTCTCTCCCCATGCCATGCCATGCATATCTTTACCCTGGAAAACCTGATGTTAGAGAGGTAGCCCAGCACGGTGGTGCCACAGAGTTCGTTGTGAGCCTTGCTGCCGTCAGGTGAGCCTGGGCAAGCTGGCTGGACTCCCTCAGGCTCAAGTGTCTTGCCTGGAAACTAGGGCTAATGACAATGTTGAGTCTCACAGACTGTGGGGAAAACTATATGAGATGAGGCAGGTAAACTTTGGAACAGCGTCATCTGTGTTCCACGATTCTAAGGGACCACTGGGAACGAGCTTCCCTAGCCCTTTAGGCCTTTGCAACAGTTCTAGAGTTTAACTAGCCTCAGAATTCCAATGTTTATATTCAAATCCCTTCAGCTCCCACTTGCCTTTTTGTAAGGCACCTGTTCCAGGCTCCAGGTCAGTTAAAGCCAAAATCAAGAGGGGCCAGAGAGAGACCGGTATAAGCACATGGAAACCAGG